CTTCCGTTTTCCTGAATGCATTTTGTAAATTCCACTGTCCCTTCCCATGTCTCTCTAGAAGTCAAAAAGCAACATGTTTTCCTTGTTTTCCATTTGTTGACAGGAAAATTTGTCAAGAATCATCACTTATGCTGCCAGACATCTGATCAAATGCTTCAGCTAGGGAGCCAGAATTCTCCAACTGTGGCCTCGGTAAATTTGTGGCATCTGAAATGAAACATAGGAAAATGGTTAACGGAGACCACGAGAAACTGCAGCAAACTCTCTATACCAAGGAATTCAGTACAAAAAGGACCTCTCAGTTCACAGTGGATTTTCAGAGCCTTCCAGGAAGACACCCTGTGCTCAAATTTTAAGTGATAAGGACACAATCATAGTGATCTCCTCTGTCACCTTTGTTTCTTTGGGGGCAAGGAAGGGAAAGGAGGGCAGGCAAATATATCAGGTTGATACTAGAACATGTGAGTGAGTAGTTGCTCAAATGAGTCAAAGGATAGACACCACAGACAGACTCATACTGGGTTACTTTCTACGGACAGCAAAATGCTTCCAGATAACCTGCATCTGGCTGTAGTCAAGGAAAGAAATCCTAACAGCATGAATTTGGAGGGAGCAAGACTGGTGAGTTTGCTCTTGTTCTTCTTCCAAAGTAAGATATGCCGTGTGCCTGAGCTGAAGAGAGGAAAGCAAATCCACACCAGCATCAAGGGAGATCAGGATTCTACCTTCAGTGCCAACCTAGGCCTAGGCACTTGGACACCTGTGTCCTTAAAAAAAAAGCAAACCACAAAACAAACCAAAACAAACCCCAAAATATCCACCAAAGAAATCTTGATAAACTAGTCCTGTGAACTTGGGTAAATTGGGGTTAAATTACACTGTTCACCATTCTGCTCTGAAATTTAGTCTCCTGTTGCTTCAGGTCGTAGGCTGGTTTCTAATAATAATTACAGTTGTGCTAGACAAGTCAGCCTGAAATGTTATTTGGAGCTGTACAGGTCTAATGTCCTATAATTCAGAAGCAACACATGAGCGAACACAGTAACTTCCCCATAGCTCTCTTACTGCTTGGGGCCTGAGAGCATCCACTGGACAAAAAGGGGTGTGGAGTCGCCACATCTGCCGTAAGAACAAGTCATATGGACAGGTGCCTTCCTTCTCCATAAAAAACTGCATCTACCCACTTCATGAATAAAATAGTGGCACATACATGAACCCAGCCACCAAGCATGCAGACAAAGCCCAAAGTTAAGAAAAACAGAACAAACCACGGCAATAACATACCTTGTGTAGATTCCCTTATTCCTGAGCTTCTCTCCTCCCAAACCCACTTGGCTGCTGTCTCTGGAGTTTCTGTCTCTACAAAGAGATCTGGATGCCCAGCACAGTCTCAGACATGTCCTGGTCTGTAATCAGATCCTGAGTCTGAATGGAGTATCCTTCTCTTCTCCCAAGAGAAAATTTATGGGTACCCTTCTTGGTGCTGATTCCAAAGTGCCAAAAGTGAGGCAGGATTTTCTTCCATGTCTGGAAGGTCTACTATCATCCCAGACATCGTTATAGTGCATCTTCAAGTTCTTTATCCTCTCTTGGTACTGCCCCAGGAAAAACTGATGGACAAGGTGCTCTGATACTTGGCTATCACAGTCCAACAGACACTAATACCACCTCAATGTCCTGGATATTCACACATGCTCAGTGTTACCTACGTGAGGCCAGTTTGCAGGTATGATCGTTTCTTCTGAGAAATGTTCCAAGAACATCTTGATAGATACAACCAAATCTGTACATAGCGAAGACTTCCAAAAAAAAAGTATCACCTCAAGTCAATGGAACATAAACTGGACCAGAGAGGAGCATGGTAGATACTATGCCATGACTTGATGTCCGTACTTGAGTTAGCCTTGTCCAGAGCAAAAATAATTCACACAGTAGTGTGACCATGTACCACTGCTAGCAGATGCAGACGTAGTTCAGCACTTTCCCAGGAAGAGGTCCTTACATGGGTCTGCATGCCAAAACTCTCGAGTGTGAAAATGAGGTCAATCAGTATGGAACTGATCAGTACTGATAGGAAATCAGCGTGTGACAGCATGCCATAAACCTTTTCAAAGGTACTAGATCAGCAACAGCTGGGCACACATACCCCAGCGCTTCCAACCGCAAAAGGGAAACAGAAATGTGTAAAATCTGCCATCAGAAAGCCAAGCATAGAAGGCAGCTCTACACCACAGACTCTTTTGTCTAAACCCTCATGAATGGGAACTATTTTGTTGGATATTACACTCAGATACTATACAAGAGCAAAACTGAAACTGCCTCAAAAACGAAAGAGAAGCATGAAACACACTCAGTGGTAAAACACTCAAAACCTTTCTCCCAACAAGGACACTACGGAAGGCAGTGAAGCTAGAAAGTTTCCAGACAGAAATGGCAGCCCAGCCTTTGAAAGGTGAGGAGATAAGGTCTGAACTGTGACACAGACCGTGTGAGAGTTTACTGCAACTGCAAACCTCCTTAGCCCCTGGGAAGTACCCCAGATCCACTGCTGCCTAAAAGAAATCAAGACCAAGAGCCAGGGCACAGAAAACGCCCTTTCCTCCAAGCTCCTAGCATAGCTCAAGAAATTCACTGTTGTGACTAATTTGATTCATGAGAACATCCTAACAGGCAGGCTGTTACAAGGAAATGGGAGGTTACTCTTTGCAATCTAAACCCAGGAAGATATGTCTAGAATTCATTAAAAATCAAATAATATGTAAATCCAGCACATGATACTTTAAAGAGAATTATATATGACTGGAGTGGTTAATAAGTATATAAACAGTGGAGAAAATCTTCTAACTCCAGCTCAGATCTTCAAGAAATACTGCACATTATCAACTTGCTTCTCACTTTAATTTTAATGGATTACAAAACAAATACACACAAGATCAAGTTAATGTGAAGAACCCACTGTTTTTAAATAAATTGAGTAGGAAACTGCTTGAAAGACTATCTCGCAGGTTTTCATTCCGTGAAGACTGTTTACTAATAGAAAAGAGCAACAGCTAGGAAAGACCCCATTTTGACATATATACAGTATATATATGTTTATATAGTATAAGCACTCGCTGAGAGCATGATGATGGCTCATTTTGTGTTACTTTAGCGTAAAACCAGTAAGTTAGTATCAGCTGGATGAGCGTTCCATACAACCGTCTAAAGTTTCTTGTGTATTCAAAGGTACTAAAGGTTCTTCTTTGTACAAATTTTAGGTATTACGTATCCATAAAAGCAATAGAAAGACTGGAAAGTGAAAGGATAAATTTCCAACAGCAATTTTACAAATAAAATCACTGTTAAAGTTTATTAACCTCTGCTACAGTATCAAATTAACTCAAATCTGCAGCATGTATATGGCAGTAGCTAACATCTGAAACTTTAGAGAAAACACAGCAAAAATCCTCCACTCTTCCCCAGTACAAATGTCCATTTGTCTAATACTGTACCTAGAGAAAACATTTCGCTGATAGCTGTAATAATACACTTATACTCTGAAGTACAGGATCTAATTACCATCAACTTAATTAAAACCAATTTCTTTTTATTGATTTCTTAACTTTCTGATGTTGCTTTAACTCTACCGCCTTAGGGAATGTTTTCAAAGATTTCCATCAATGTTACAACTTTTTATATTAATTAAGCTATTCTGATTAGTTTGCTCTTTTAAAAATCATTCTCAATGCTAGACATCTGCTAAGTGACAAATGGTAAGAGTTTAAAGAGTTTAAACAGCTATACAAGTTCAAACATTTTTGGCTTTGCTTTTTTCCCCCCTCCTTTTCCTCTGCCTGCTCCCTCCACCCCTAAGAAAGTTCACATGTTGCAAAAGATCTGTATAAAATAGTTTCCAAAAAGTGTGCCTTTCTCACAACTATCCACACAGTTAGTGAGCTGCTTTGTGCCCACTGCTCAATTTTTCTGACCAACAGATGTGAGACCCCAATCTAACCATCCTTTCCCCAACATAACCATCCTCAAAGCCTCTAAGTGCAAGATATAACCTTACATGATTGATAAAGGTCTATTAATTTTAGTGGATTTAAACTCAAACCACATGAAAAACGAAGCACAAATACTTAAGTGTTTCAGGGAGATGTAGACAGGCTTTGCTTAACTTAAGCCTAAATCAACAACTCAGCAATAAACTACCCCATGAAATATTAGACCTCTGTTAACCGTAACTAAGAGAGCAGCTACAAGAAAATTTCGAACAACATAATCTCATTACGCTAACAGTTTAGAAAAGTGGTATTCCTTTTTTTATAGTCTTTACAAGATTAAAACAATTCCTACATACTCAAAATTGAGAGGACATAATGATAGGGTTTTTTAATTTTAATTTTCTAGTTTTTCTTTTTCATTTGCCTGGCTGCAAGCTGAACTAATATGGCACTGTTGGAAAATAATTTTCACATTGCTATGCTTTCAGTTGGTATTTGACTTCCAATAATCAGCTAGTTTTGCCAAGCTTTACTACTTATCATGCAACCTAAATCACCCAAATGCAAATAACTTATTCAAAAAATGAAAACTACTCCATTTTTATACACTGTAGTGTCAAATACAGTATGAAAGAAAAATTACCTATCAGACCATAAAGAAAAACTGAGCAGCAAGTATACCCAGATTCTCACCTATCTGCAGAACTTCTTTCAAATCTTTCTTTTAAGCCTCACACAAAATTTCCAACACAAATGCTTACATTGGAAAAGCAGGGATGTGATAATATAAACAATTCTGTTTATGTGAAAAGCACTTAAAACCCGATCAAACTCACAATAAATAGCAGGACTGCACCACAGGTAAAAAGAAGAAAAAAACCCCAGCAATACCCCACTAAACAAAGCACTAAAAATCCTCAGAAACACCTTGAAATTCTGCTAAGATCTTATTTGTATAAGACTGACACACATGCTAAAGGGAAGCCAATTGATTATCAGGCAATCCAAGCTTACCTGCTTAAGTGCTTTCTTTGTGTGCTGCTGGAAGGAAGATACTAGCTTGCTTTGCACCGGAGCATTAGTAAGGCTCGAGTCACGATTGGAAGACATTTCTTCAGATGTCTGCTTTGGGCAAACTTTATAAAAAGAAAAAAAAAAAAAAAAATCAGAATACTGTTATGGGGGTCATCTTCCCTATATCTTGGAAAATCCTGGGGACAGAAAAAGAAAATACAGGTGCCTGGAAAACAAAAAGCTCGCTCTAAGGAATTAAACTAATCTTGAAGTCCAGATGAGCTGAAAATGTGGCCATATTCTAAATAAAGGCATTGCCTCACAAATACTTGTACCTCATCGTACCCTTTCCATGCAGTTCTGGAGGCCTTGCATATTTTGCCTTTCAGGTCCTGAAAGGTAACTGCAATAGTTTAACTGTGGTTTTCACAGAGAAGCTAGACAAAAATTACCTTCCTCACCAAGACATTTTAAATGGATTATTATGTGTCTAAACGTGTATTTATACAAGAGACACTGATGACCCTGTGTTCTAGAAATATTTATAAATATCTAACTTCACGCCAGATTGTAATGGCTTCTTAGGAGCCAGACTCATCTACTTTATAAGTACTTCTCGGTGAAGCTAAGAACACACACTTTCCTGTTTAACGGGTAGACTGGAATATCCTGCAAAGAGGAATTCTGGTCTCTCAGGTAATACACACTGCTGCTTGTCAGCCTTCTAAATAATACATGTTTTAATGAGCAAATACTACTGTACTTGCATTAAACAGCCTCTTGCACACGTGTTGTGTGAGAACAGAAAAAGTCGCCTGGTTAAAAATAAAAGGAGATACCATTAATTGTTTTTAAAAAGCAGCTTTATTAAGCAGATATGAAAGCTGTGAAAACAGCTGGAGGATCCTATTAGCCCTGGTAGCCAGCGAGCTTGACTAAAACGGCTGTAAAAACCTTTCCCCTCTTAATGCCCCGCATTGCTATTACTCTCACTAGTGTCCCAAGACAGCCCAGCTAAAACAGCAGCACTATGGATCCAGAAATTAAGCAAATTTTTTTTTTTTTTCCATTCTCCTCTGCTGACTCAATTCAGGTCTTGCACGTTGACACGCCTCCTTCACCACGCTCTGCGGCTGTGGATGGTTTTCCAAGGTTTGCCATACCTCGCACACCCACCAGAATAGTCTGAAGACACCCAAAGCAGCTGCACAGACACGTGCCACAAATAATTTTAGCCCAGTGTTTCTATTTGCCTGTGGTTTTCTCCTCCCATCCTTCTGGGATGAGCAGACACCTGAAGTAGCATTCTAACTCCTTTGCCTTTAGCAAGGTTTCACAGAAGAAATATTGTAATGATTTTTTGTTTGTAAGGAAAGAAAGATAGATTACAGACAATTTAGTTATCAGTAATTAATGGCCACCGTAAGATGCATGTGATATTTGTTTTCACACTGACAGAAAAAATTGTTAATACTTACCTCACAAATAGCGAATACACTGTTTTATGGCATTGGCATTATGACAAGATAATTTTCATGTTAGATTAAAAATTATCATTAGCAGATAAGACAAATCCTATTTTGTCACAAGATTTACAACTGATATTTGCTACCTCTTTTCCCCTTATACTTGATGGGTTTGTCAAAATACACAAAGAAGCTGCAACACAAAACGGGTTCTGAGTTTACAGCATCACCTGGTTTGGATCAATCTTTTCCACAAGATGAGCAAAGCTTACTATCAAAAAAGATGACTTAAAGGGGCAGCAGTTTCAGCAGAAAACAAACAATAGCTGGTCTACGTAATTGAAATCACTGCAATAGCTAAGCTCCTGAGACAAAGAACACCTACACCAAAATAAAAACCTGACATTTCAAATTATCCAGCTTTTGTCTTTTCTTTAAAAGAGAATTTTCTTACTGTTTTCTGAAAAAGCCCGAGTCAAACAACTGAAGAAAAACCCAGAAATAGTGTGAGCACACAAACCCCGGAGTTAAGGAAAGAAGAACAGAACAAATTTAACAATACCTGAAGAAGGGAAACTGTTATATACTTAACTGTCCATCCCACGACAGGATCCAACATGACCTGCCATGCAAAACCTACTCCTGTTCTCCGGCACGACTGCAACTCCTATTAGCATCTTGTTCAAATGTGACATTCTGATTTTCATTACTCTCATCTAGGACATTACTCAAGTCTCCCCTAGCTATTTTGGTGATAAAGTTCGTCCTGGAGAGGTTTGGCAATGCTGACTGATGATGCACAACCCTACACCCATTAATGTCAAAGTCACGATACAGCACGGGAATAAAAGTAAACATAGCTCTATATTCATTTTGAGCTTTAATTTTGAGCTTTAATTCATTTTTCTTTTACCAATAAACCTGGAAATCTTGACAGGGTCTATCAGAGGCCATACTTCCTATTTCTAGCATGACTTCAATTTTCCATAAAAATATTATCACTGTATGGGTTTATTTTGCTTCTGTTTCTTTAACGCATTGACAACAAAGTCAAACCAAGGAACAAGGATTGTTCTAATGGGTGAAGCAACTGGAACTGAAACCCACTGAAACAATAAATAGCTTTCCATCGCTGTAATCTCTTCTGTAGGTGCAGAAGGAATACCTCACTCCAGGCTGGTTCCGTTTAGTGCAACCCAAACCTAGTTCCTTCGGAGTTTTGAAAAAGAAACTTTTTCCTGTCGTCTAGGATCAAAGAAATAGATACGTGAGGCTGAAATCCGCTGCCTAAAAACTTCAAAATTACGCGGTGATTAAACAAAGTCAGCTTCAGTTATCATAAAATAATTACACATTATAAATATCTTCCTTCATAGGTCTAGCAGCTTATATAATAAGAAGCTTTTTTAAAATATTGTTTTCCATCTTTTAATTAAATTTCCATTTCCGTTTAAAACCAGCTTGATACAAATCAGGGCTATAAACCCAACATCTAGTAAATAAAATATGTCATTGCCTGTTTTCCAAAAGTAGAAGATACAAACATAAAAAATCTAAATACATTTAATTTGTATAATTGCTTAATAATTTATACAGCCTATTCACTTTATTAGCAAAAACTAATACTAAAGTTGATATACAGTCTTTACTCAGAGGCTAATCAAGACATTAATTAATTTGAATTGACTTTTCTGTAGGAAATGGAATACAAATATGAGACAAGGAATAAAGTTATTCTTTAAAACATATTTAAATCACTCTGTGCCAAAATCTCACTATACTACAATTTCTGTAGACCACAGAAAACAGTATTTATTCATTTGTTCATTTATATGGAGAAAGTCCAACTGCTTTTCCCTGAATGGGTCAGAAGGAAAAAAAAACAAAGGGAAAATAGGACAGAAAAATATGTAAGTGTTTGAAATGAACATTGACGATCCCAGTGAAAAAAACAATGCCTTAAGAACAGAGCAGGCATTTCTGCTACAGAAACCAAGAACGCAGTAAAAGAAAATCAAATTCAAGAAGAGCCAGTGGTCTTTGTACACACATACAACTTTGGAAAGCTGCAACTACTTTGTCCACAAGCACTGAAGACGCATGAATATTATCAGATCTACATTTGCTTGAAAAGCTTTATCAGAAAAGAATGCTAAAAATCAACTGGGTGCTGGGGAGGAAAAAAAGAACCCTGAAAGAATGTGACAGATGAAGGAAAAATATTTGGGTAGCAAATAAAGAGGATTCACCATTATTGCTTCAGCAGAAGAAGTGAACAAGAGCAGTTTTAAGCTTACAGGAGGCATTTCCATTTCGTGGAGAATAATTAGGCTCCATTCTTTAAATCAGCTTCTTCAAGGGCCAGGACTGAGCGAAGGAATAAAGCAAAAAGCAACTATTAAGCCATAAACTGTTAGGTTATGAGCCGGAAGAGCAGCTGGGTTTCTGAAGATAAGACCTCCTTAGTGAGTGTTCAGAGAGTGTTAACATGAATGATAGAATTAGAATTACTTAGCGAAAAGAGCACGTTAAAAATGTTTTTGACAACCTCCTTTTAAAATAACTTCCTCTCTTCCATTTTTCCAAGACCAGTTTTGGTAGCTGTTACGAAAGGCTATCATTTATAAAAATCAGCAATGCTACCATTTAATTTCAAATTTTATAGGCTATCTCTGTAATTTTTTATTACCTTTTACCTTCCACACCCAAGAAATATGACACCTACATAAAACATGTCAGAAGACATGTTTCTTCAAAGACGTAATTTTTAAAGGAATACAACTTAAAATTATTCTGTCTCACTGCCACTGAAAGTTATTAGGAATAATTATTAACAGATTTACGTAACTAGATGGATAGAAAAATTCCTGGAGTGCTTTAAGGGCCTTATTTTCCCAAAATAAATAGGACAGTTAATTCTGATTTCAGATAGACCATACTGATTTAAAATCAAACCAGTAAAATCAACGGCAGTTCACTTCCTTCTTTGTTACAGAAACCACAGCAGATGAGAAGGATTGTTTACTAATGGCCACACTACAAAACACAAATTAACATTGCTACCATACGCCAAAGACTAGAGTCTACCTCAAGCATAAAATGTATGCACACACTCTGGAGGTACGAAACTTCACAGAGAACTCCCTCAGGAAAATGTATACACCAAATCCCCCTCTAAAATATCCATAAAATTCAGTATTTTCTTTGGGTGACACAGATCTATACTTGTATTGACATAAATGGTCACGCTTTGCCAACACAGACGTATCAAGCAAGTCACCTCCATCACTCTTCGATCTCTAGAGCCCGACTTGCAAAATCTAAACAATTCAGAACTTGACCACTGCCATCAGCTCTTGAAAATTAAAACCAGTTTGGGAGTTAGTTAATTGCAAAGTTCGCCAAAGCAAGCAAAAACAGATGCATATATCAAGGGCACTGCTGTGACTGCAATATTCTTTTTGAAAAGCAATACTAGCACTATGAAATGAGAACTAATATTGGATAGTATTTTTTGGAAAAAGACATCAAATACACATCATCTTGGTAGCTTGCACTGAATCACATTATATTCTCGGCATGCTTTTGAGCCCAAACATTTCACAAAGCTTTGAAAACTGTGAATCCTTATTCCAAAGGAAGTCAACATTTTCCACTAAAAATATACAGCCTGTCATCACTAAGTCACCAATTTTTTAGGCCTCATTAACTCTACTGCACAGCAAAAAACACAGATGAGAAAGATCTCTCCCTCAAGCTCCACAGTATCTGCTCTCATTCTTATGACTCCCCTCCAGTGGCAATGAAACAAACAGAAGTTAAACTCGATCCTGTGTACGGTATTTTTATTTTATAGCTACTTGCACGGAGATGAAAAAAAAACTCCCACCAAAACAAAGTGAAAAAATGTCTTTCTGATGTGTCATCTAAACCTCTGTATGTTCGAGCTGCTTTTTCGTTACCCCCCTTCTGCTTTCAGAGGGGCCTGTCCCACTTCCAGACGTTGCCATGTTCAATGGATGTATTTAGCAGAATCATCCAATATTATTCCCAAAAGACAAGATGCTAAGGACAACAGGTTTCCCTGAATTGCCAGAAATTCTGTTCCTGGAAAGGAACTGAACATCTAAATGTGGACTCAGGTTTCAAACAATGGTGAATATTCATTCCTCACTACAGGAGTTATCCTGGTGGCTTCCTAGTCCAAAAAGCACAAGGTGTTCAAGAGCACAGTCACCAAAGAGACAAATTTCAGGATTCAGCTTGAATCTGATCCTCTATCGTCCATCATCTCATCTACTATCTCTAAGAAAACTGCTGAATAAATTAATTCTGCCGATTCATGTTCGCAGTTAAAGAACTTATAGTTTAGGAAGTGCTGAAAACCGAAGTGTCTCAAGAGGAGAAACATATTTGGGCAAACATCAGAACCTACATTTGGGCTGGGTTGTGGAGGGCCACCACACTCCTGTAGGAACTGCTCCCTCCTCCACAGTTACATCATTGTGCATTCCATTGGCTTGCACGAAGACAATTTTTAATCAACTGCGCTCCGTGGCTGATGGATTAGCCCCGGCTTCAGAAACCCTAGGGACAAATGCTTTTTGAGAACAGAACATCCTATTGATGGGCAAAAGGATATTATAGTCATCATTTTCCCAGGCAACGGTAATTGGGATTTTAATTCTTTTACTGACTGCAACTTTACATGCTGCCCCTCTATTTGAGGGAAATGGAATTTATAAAAAGATACGAGACTGCTAGAGAGCTTCTATAGAAATCCCATTCCAAACAAAAATCAACTGCAGTGTAAAGATTTTCTTTAACATATGCCTTTGGAGACTGTGGGGAAAGAAAGCTTTCTCTCACATCTGAAAAATATTGAGGTGTGACTATTCCAGTTGTCAGTTTAGCAATACTGATGTGGAGTAACAGCTTTCACCAAGTCATGTGTTTATAACTGTGAGGAGTTTTTATATTATTATGCTAATAAAATTGTTCTGTAGTCTGCACTTATACTGGGAAAAATATGCCTGCTGGGGAATAATGTGACTCTGCTCTGTTTGAGTGTCAGCTGGTACTTTTTACTCCAAAAGCTGAAGACTATCATCTAAAAGCCCACAAATGGACTGACGCCGTTGCTTAGGGTTTCACCCTCTGCTTCCAGCTAAGTTTAAAGCAGCACTTTTTAAACTCTTGCTGAACAATTTCTGATTACTGTCAGAACTGAGGCTTCTGGACTCTACCACAGTGGAAACAAGAGCAAATAAAAAATGCAATCAATTGGGCAATTAAGAATACAACGTGCAAATAACGTCCATCTTCATATGTATCACAGATACTAAGGCCAAAAGGAGACATTCTACCTATTGACCTTTTCTAAAACACAAGTCAGAGAATTTCTAAAAGCTTTTTTTCTATATTGAATCAAATATCAAATGTTATTTTTATGCCACAGAACAGTTCCCCAGACACAAAAAAAATATCCCAGCTTTAGTTTGAAAAGTTTTATTGATAGACACCTTGTTAGATCTGGTCTGCTAGATCACATTTTCTATAGAAATACCTTTTCTCAAATATTTACAACCAATCTAGTCACCACCTCATCTTTGACAAACTAACTAGACTGTCTCTATTAATTTTCCAGAGAAAAGGTGGTATTTGTTCACTCAGGAGTTCTTATATGTCTTTTCTAAATCCTTTCCTATTTGTCTTAATTCCTTCTTATAGCTATAATGAATGCAATACACTAGTAATCATTTAACTAGTGCTATACCCAAAGGAAACACTGTGCCTCTCTTCTTTGATCAGTACTACCAGAATCACAGTCCAAGAACTGCATTGGACTAAGCAAAAGCATCTCATTCACGTTCAATTCATTTTCTATTGTGATCCTTAAATGCTTTTCAGATTTACTGATTTATTGAATATGTGTTTCTACTGCACAAATGTAACCTTTTTTCTTCGCTTTGAAGTCTAAAAAAAATTCACGCTGTTCAACTGTAATCATTTACAAGGCAATCAAGAGGGGTCTCAACATCATTACTATTATCAGTAAATTTATTATCAGTAAATTTAATCAAGAAGAATTTCATGCTTTTCAAAAAGTATTGACAAAAATATTGAATGAAGAGTGGTCAAGTCAAGAGAAGAGCAAAAATACTGCTGTGCATGGTGATTCCTACACCCTTGCAGATCTAATAATTCGTAATTTGCAATCCACTTAAAACTGGCTGCATTTCCCAGGCATGCTCCTGTTTTTAAGCCTAGCATTCTATACTGTGAATGAAATCACTTACAGAATTCTACATATATACCAACAGATAGTTTTAACAACAAAACTTTCTGTCTCAAGAAAAGCTATTATCGTACATGTTTGACAAAACTATGTTCTGTATCAGCTGACTGATACAAGATATGCTGTCTTCAATTCCTTATTGATTCCATCCAGCACTGGCCTTGCTAGATGCAATATAGGCTCACTACTGCCGTTCCATTTACCCTTTTCAAATATATCCACTGCACGACATCAAAAAATTTAAAACGTCTTGTTTTCAAAAAGTTAAATATATCACAGTTTTCCAAGATTTGTTAAAGATGAAGCATGAGGGAAAGTTCTCAGCTTTAAAAACAATCTAGGTGTAATTTACTGCTCTACCCCAAATATTTCAAAGTGTTTAATTCTGGCAGCTGCTTTTTTATGTCACCACAAGTGCTAGAATTATTTTTATTACTGTAAACTGTGAAAATAGTATGCAGCCTCCCCCCAGTCAAAACCCAGCAATTTGCTACCTCTGGCATTCTGGCATCCTTATTTACATCCTACCACTCCTAAATCATTTGCCAGGTTTTTGCCATGATTTTTATTTGTTTATAACGAGTAACATCAAGTTTTTCTTTGCTACCTGTAACTGTATTTACACTGCTTTTCAGCACTGTATTCTTCCTGAGACTTAGGGAAGTGTACATCAACAAATCGTCTAAGTCTCAGACAGGAATTGTTGAAGGACTGCAAATATATATGTTCACTTATACACACAGCGTATACTACATAAGCATAAAACCACTGCACATGCAGAATCTGTTAACTTATAGACATAATATATCAAAGAAAATGAAGCAGCAGAGCCATTTAATAATTCTTGACTTTTGTTTTTCCACTGAGCTTCAAAACTTCACCACTAGATCCACAACAACTCGTAGTTCTGTTCCTCCCACCACTGAATATTTTGTGATTTTTTTCAACGCTGCCAGCAAGCAATACTGAAAGAGCAGTTCTGTACAGATGCAGCGTGCAAGCTAAGTTGCTCAAAATCAACGCGGAAGCCTGTAGCAGAACAACAAGAGCTGAGCTTTTTCATGTCCTAGCTGTAAACAGGACACCCTCTCACCATATACGAAGTGAGTCAGAACAGTAGGCTGCAGTCCAGCAGGGGGACAGGTTGTGAGGGGACAGCAGAAGAGAAGAACTGATCAAGGAAAGGTTTATGTCAGAGGTCCTGGGAAGCTTGATTTTTGTATAAAGCGTTCGCTTTATAAGCACGACGTTAAGTGTGGTTTTAACAAGAAGAATATTAATTTCTATTACTTGCAAGTAATTTTAGGTGACTGAAGAACTGTGTTTTCTTAATGAGCAATTATTACCTCTCAAAAAGAACAGCGAATTCTAAGGCTGCCATTTTCAAGTTCTTGCAATGTTTCAGTTTGTCATTATCTCAGAGAAAAAAAAAAAAAAGTACGGGATTTGATACTTCACCATGTCTTTAAGTCAACATGGCACCCAGGAGAATCTCTGCCTGAAATAAAAACAATACAAACCTTTGTCCTGTGCCCAGAACTCTACTGAGGGACCAACCCCACACGCCCACACCGAAACCAGTGAGATGTCTATCTGACAGCTGCAAGTCTGAAGCCTGGCAAGGCAAATTACTCTTTAGCCGAGGGGCCTAAAACAAAAAAATTGGAAGCCAAAAAATGACCCACTCAAAACACACCCAACAGCACTACTCATTGTCTTTTACAGACCTAAGTCAAATAAAGGCACTTGGTGTTGCTGATTTCTTTATGAGGCCAAAAAAAGAGAAGTCATCACTCAAAAATAGTTCCACTGAGTATAAAATATTGCTTACACTGTTTACAAATCACACCATGAAAACCTTAAGTAAATAACAGCTTTTCTTTTCCCCACATATGCCCTCTAATATTGAAATTAAAGCACCTACCACCATTTTCTTCTCCATTATTATTGTTTGTCTCAGCCATTTCAGTGCCATCTAACTCAGATTCACATCCTAAATCCAATGTTCCATCAGTAGGGCATGTTGATTCTTCTTTCTACAGGTAAAAAAGAAAAAGGAAACTAAAATTAACGAGAAAAAAATCAATCATGATTCTGCTGCATCTCCGAAAATAGATTACTGCAGTGTATTCTTATGCTTACATTTCATAAAACAGAATAAAATAAAATATGCTTTTAAGTTACTTCAGAGAAAAGCATAAAACCAGACCTTCACGAAACAACTTGCAAAGCAAAAGCAAAAAAGCTATTTTGTGAAGACACAGCATACTCTTTTTTAAAAAATGCCAAATAAATGCAAGATATTCCACTTTTTTTTTTTTTTTTTTTTTTAAACAGAAACAGACTTGTTTGGCTGTTAAAAATCCTAGTTTTCCAGTTCAGTGTCCACAACGCTGCAGCAAAACACAAATCCTTTAATGTTTCTTTTCTGCCTCTGCCTGTTTCCTGAATTCAAATAGCTGAAGCAACCTGGAGCTCACAAGCATGGGAGTGATTGTGAATACCTGGATTTGTGCCAAGAATATCTCCCGATTTAAAGAAAACCAACAGCATTTGTTTTAGTAAATCAGAAAATAGAGCTTCTGAAAACTATTGCTTCAACCTCACATACAGAGTTTTTAGTTACCAGGAGCAGGCAAATTTATATAGTTTTGTATTTTTTAAACCCTTACCTCAAAGAAGTCTGTCATAAATTACAAAAGATCTTCCCCCCAGCCCAGATTTTTAATTGACCACATTTAGACTGCCAAACATAAAATCTCACTTTCTTGTTTCTCACCTCTGCCTCACATTCCTCCACTCCTATTGTGAAGCCCCTCTAAGTATCATCCTGTACAGCCACAAAAAATTTCCACTCACACAAACCATCATATACACACCAAAAAAGAAAATAAAGAGGAACAGGAATAGAAATAGCATAAAGGCAACATTCTACCACTGTAATTACAATCCTTCTCAAAAGCAATGATGCAACCTGTAAATTAAAAGCTGATTTATATTAGACTTGCAAATAATTTTGAACTATTCAAAAATCAAACATTAATACAGTTACTTAATGAGAAAGTCAGTGATCCTCTTGAGCTCACTGCTCATAAAACAAAGGCCTTTCTGTGAACAACCATGAAAAAGCAGCATTTTAGCTGAACTATATGTTTTTTATACCATATGCCAAATTCAAGAACATGTATATGCTTTCTAGGATAAAACATTCAATGTTTACTTTCATTATAAATCCTTTAAAAAGACATCTGAAAGCAGTTAGAAGGACTATCAGGTCATTTCCTCTCCAAAGAATCTAATCTGTTTACCTTTATGTCTATTGAGACATTCATAAAATGGATTAATAGTGCTATGTACTTTCCATATACAAAATTTAAACTTACTTTGAGAGCGTAGAGTCCCGACTTCCCAGGGATTTTGAAGAATGTTCCATCACCTACACGAGTGTTAGTATGAAGCATAGCATTCAGGCAAGCTAATGGAGAGGTTCCACTGAAAAATAAAATTGTGCAGTCCAAGATTGAGTGCCTCTGTAAAACTATTCCCTTGGTCTATTTTTTTTTTTAAACTCATGCTTGCCTGGCTTTTTTTTTTTTTTTTTTTGGCTTTTTTTTTTTTTTTAATTCTCTCAACCCTGAAAACATCTACATTACAATAACAGGCCAGTTTCAAACTTAATCATATGCATCTGTCCCCTAGGCTCGAGGCAAAAAGTCTGTGAATTCTAATTATGCTTTTCTTCATACAGCAACCAGCTCCACATTCTAAGAGAACCAAAGTCCAAATATTTATGTGAAATTACTTTGTAAATAACACGATGAAGCCTCATTTTTAAAATGTTTCAGACAATGTGGCTGCTGCACATGAATGATCAAAACAGTACCAAGTTCAAGGGCAGCTGCATCCCATAGGATGAAAGGCAACAAAAGAATAATAAAGAGCCCAGGAAGAACCCATTTAAAATTAAAAGTGATATATAGTTAAGCCTTCTCCTGGCTCAACACGGTCAGCATGCATTACTGTACATAAATACAAGCACATTTGTACCTTCTATGAAGGTACTGTCTTTCCTAATTAGAGTTGGTTTAGAGATTAAGAGATTGGCGGACTCAAGGTAGTAATTGTTACACCACTGTGGAATGCATGTTAAGGGACTGCTTAAAAAGAAACACGGTGCATTAAGAAAAAAGGAGCACTTGTACAGAAATGTCTGTGTAATATATGCACGTTTACATCAGAAAAAGAAAGCAAATGTTTCTACCCCCCCTACACTTAAACCATTCGATCTAAGAAATGGTGGGGAAGAAGGTAGTCAATTTTTTTTTCTTTAATTTTAATTTAATAATTAAAGTACAAGATTTATAGATGTACTATCACATCTTTGTCCCCATTTACTGACTAATGTACACAGTGTACTCAGGGACTGACTCTGAAACTGTGCTTCTTCCCTGGGGTCCCTAGCCTGCACGCACGCTTATCTTTAGCCACGTAAATATATTCCACTTGGTTAAGTGGAACAATGCCTGTGCATTAAATTAAGTGTGTTGCTAAGTATTTCAGGATTAATTATATACTCAACTATAAAGCAGGAACAGGGCTTCAAAAGTCCATCAGAAACTACTGTACTTTATTATGCGATATTATAACACAACACTCAATCTTCGTTGAAAATTACATGACCAATACTTTTTTATAAATAAAACTGGATTGAAATCATCATCTTTCATATGATGATGCTTTCTATTGATTTCCATGGCTCTGTTACAACAAAATTAATCCTTACTGTACATTTATTAATTTAATGGAAAGATGGGTAGCGTAGTAATTGGTCTTCCAGTAAAAATTAAACTATAAAGTGTCCTCAGGATACTAAGTCCTGTCCAATATATTTTTTTTTTGCTATTGGCCACCTAATGGATTGCATTTCTACAACTAAAATCAAAAAGTAGAGGCAAAAATGCTGCTTGTTGATAAACACATCAGATATTTAACAGATATCTATTTTATGAGTATTCTTAATATGCAATATGAAAATTCTGACAAGTTCTTATGGTTTCCTTTTCCCTCTGCAAATAAAACTAATTCCACATCTGGTTTTGATATAATACTATATCAGAATACAAAACTAAATACGGTAGAAATATAACGATACTGCTAGCAGTAGCCCAGAAAACATTAAGAGATTTCACTGACTTTAATGATTACTTAAAACAGTTTTGGAATAAGTAGGATACTTCTCTTTACACATTTTCCTTATTGTATTAACGTTTGACAAGCAAAGACACAAAGCGTTTAATAGAGCAGTCACAGTTGCGTAATTTCTTCCATATGTTAACATACATAACACGAAGCAATTTTGACTCTTACAGTCTTGGATCTTTTTAGTGAAACCCTATCACAGAGTAAGACTTTCTCTGCAAGACAGAAAGAACTTGCTGACTCTGCAGTGGAAGACAATATATCAACAAGAAACAAAGCTCTGTGTGCATATACGCACGATTTGTATCCTTCTCCTATTCCGACGTAGATATTCTGCACTCCACATTTTTTAGATATCATTAACCAATTAAAACTATACAAGATGAATGAACCCAAAATAGAGGATTTGGCAATATCTCATGACCACTACTGTGCTCACAGCAGATATCTTAATCTTCAAAGTCTAGCCAACTGGCAAGTGGACAATAGAAACTACTCTCCGACTTGCAAAGAAATTGGTATCAGCTACTGAGCCAATAACTACTGTTGTGCTTGTTTCATACAGATATCTGCAATTCCTAAATAATTCAGCATGCAACCAAAGGGCCACATCCACCCTTCTTGAAAACTGGACTTGGGTATGTCTGTAACGAGCAGAAAACAAACCACATACACTTAAGTCACAAATGAAATAATAATCTGGACTCTGCGGGGTGGGATTTATTTCCAGCTGGCAGCTCATACTGAAATTCCACGGTGTTCTTTATCACGGCTATTTTGACCCATATTAACCAATGACTTGCCTATTCTTCTGTCAGCACAAGCATCCTTAAAACACCGTCTTAAAATTCCCAAACATTACTCACGAGGGACGCTGGAAATGCTTGCAATACACGCTATCACAACACAAGGGACTGCGGTTAGGAAAGCCAGCAATCAAAGATCTCATGATGCAGACTGATGTCTGAATCACAAAGCAGTTTCTGAGGGATCCATACTACTTACTGTATGCTTTCTAAATTTTCCTACAGCCTGAGGACATATTCGTTCTGTTCAGAGCTGCTGGCATGTATTAATACAGCAGCCAAGGACTGCCCAATATAGGGCTGAGTATCTGAATATCAAAAATGGCACAGTTTGACCCAAGTTCTTGAAATGCTCCAAATCAGTTCAACTTTGATTCAGTCAAACCAAACTGGATACAACAATATTCTACTTTGTAACTTGATATCTGTGAATTTTTAGAGCCAGAACATATTTTAAACCAATATGCTGCAAGTTTTGTTGCCACAGTCTACATCCAAGGAATATGTTTACATTTACAGCCTTCAGATACAGAACTTTTATACTATTTATCATTTTTTGGGTGAGAATGCTTTAAACTACTGTGGTATTCTAAAAGTCATTCATACATGGGAGTCACCGTCTGTAGCATATGTCTTTAAGATTGATCATTTTCTGCTCCTATGTTTATTTTTTATATATATATATATATACACACACATACACTTCTATACACACAAACAAGCAGTATACACACACCAGCATGGTTTCAAATAGATTTGAAAAATTAAAAGTTACTTACTTTCTGTAAAGGTGAATCGAAGTTACAACAACCAGCAACATAGGAAAGAGAAAAAAAATGACTAATTAGCCCTCCAATATAAAAGTTGTTAATACCATTTGATCATTTAAAAGGTATTTCAATGTTTCATAAATGCTCTTTCCCGGAATAGCTAGAAGTTGACAGTATTCAGCACACTCTTCCAAATATAACCCCAGAATTCCTGGACATTATCAAAGCAAGCTTCTCACCCCAACTCCCCCAGTCAACAATATTTCCAATATTTTGTGATTCTGGGCTCCCTCTACTGGTCATGCAGCCGGTGTCACCTAAATCGAAATGCCAGATAACAGTCGACACACAAAGCTCTGCAAAAACATGTAGGAGAAGTACAGATTTCAGCCACTTTCTCCCCTGCCACCCTCCCCCAAACACTACAAAAATCTGTAAAAACACTGCTTATTTTTACATTGTAAACTTCTCAAACACAGTTTTGACAGAAAACCCCTGAAAACTTCCATGGTTCTACTTTTAGTACTAATGGTCTTTGCTAGACTGCTTGCCAAGAGAAAAAAAAATATGATCTTGGCAAAAAAAAAGTTTTAAATATGGAAAATAAATTGACTAAAGCCAACCTGTCCAGACAATACAGTGTGTCAGACAGTGAAAGTTTCCTGACACCATGCAGAGGAGGCACCTCGGGTCCTGCAGCAGGCAGCCTTTCAGCCCCTCAGCACGCAGCCAGCCCCCTCCCAGAGCCGTCAAGGGCTCCTGCTATGTTCCCAAATCGAAGGACGACTTTGTAAGAGGAGCACTTAACTATCGTAAATGTGATCAGTATTTATTTCTTTGAAATCATCTGCTCATTTTATACAGATCCATAAATAGTCACAGGGGAGCAACAAGTTTTACTCACGGCTGGAAACTAAACCCAAAAGGCTTCAGAACTAATTTCTAGACCCGATACGAAGTCACGCAGAATAAAATACATTTATAACGTATGTAAGCTACACCAGTTTTGGAGTACATGACAGTGATAACACATACAGAAAATAAAACTTATGATGGAAGGCCGTAGAAAACACATTTGTGTGGTCCAGAAAACAGAAAAGTAGAAGAAAGAATAATTGTCATTTTCCAGAGAAATGTAAAAGTCTGTTGAAGTCAATGGAGATAAATGTTCTTTGTGGTCACTGGGGGAAGAAAAAGAAAGTTCACAGGTAGTCTAAAAGTGTGAATGCAGCTGTTCATGTTTTAAATAACACCAGAAGAGTGCAGGGAAGTTTGTAAAATGACCTTCATGAGAAGATCAAATACACACCAGTCCTGGCTGGTAAGTGGAACCTGTCCCAGTGTTCACATTTGTATTGAACGATCTCTTGAGCATGCGTCCAGCACTGAATCCCAGGATTCTTTATCTCTTTAATAAATCAAAATTTTATTTCAGCCTGAGGTTAACCATACACCTTAAGTATACTTTTCCAACATGTACAGCCGCCAGAAACGCTGGAGAATTGACTAGACGTCTAAACGTGCGCTGCTTGCTGAAGTGTTTCACGGAGCAACGCATGCAATACTGGAAGCCCAACGTGACAAAGCCAAAGCAGCAGCTTTCCCACAATCTTCAAGGAGCTGCGTGCCCACCGTCTTGTATCATGTACCATCAAAATGTCCTAACTCGTGTCAGAAGGCTGTAGCCATGACCTAGCTTGGGTGTGACACACAGAAC